CAAGTAATATCACCAAGTTCTCATCTGTAATGCTTACTGTATCAAGTAATATCACCAAGTTCTCATCTGTAATGCTTACTGTATCAAGTAATATCACCAAGTTCTCATCTGTAATGCTTACTGTATCAAGTAATATCACCAAGTTCTCATCTGTAATGCTTACTGTATCGAGTATTAGAACTAAGTTCTCATCTGTAATGCTTCTGAAATTAAAAATAAATACATATTAGCAACTTGCAGTAAATATGTTCTAAAGTTTTTGAATTTCGTACATCAAAACCAAATTGTCAAGTAAAAGCTGTAGTTTTAAGTGTAGGTTTGTAATTTTATACAACATACACATGAAAAAAAAAGATGTAGAGATTTAAATAAGAGGGTGTATGACTTGAGCAAAGTGTAATGAAATAGTTGGACAAAAGAAGTTTTTCATATGATAAATGTTCAGCTTATTTGTCACACTGCCAAAATATTTAAGTATATAATTTGAATGTAAGAGCACATTATAAATTTGAGCTTTACATTGTATTTACATCTTTCAGAGTATCAAAATGATTTAAAAATATACCTAATAAAATTTATAAGCAAGTTACCCTCTTTTTTCTGAAAGCATGAAAATTGTGTAACAGCTGTTAAATAATTTAACACTGTTTAATACTTCATATTTATACTAGCTTCAAGAACAATTTCAAGAGCAGCAGGAATCTTTGAACACTCTCCAAGTGGAAAATGAAAAACTAAAAAATGAATTGGACATTAGTGATCAAGAAAGACAGCAGCTGCAAAAAGAGCTTAGCAACCAAACTCAAGAGCGTGAGAATTTGTATCATAAAATTGAAGAAGTAAGTGCATATACATTGTTGGAACATATAGGCTACTTTTGCTTTCATAAAAATTAACTCATAAATGAAACTATATCTAAAACATAGAAACTTCAAACATAAGATTTAATAACCATTGAATATTTTTGAACTAGATTTTGAATTTTTGGTGAACTTACAATTTATAATAAAATTTTAACTACTATATGACATAATTGCATAGTACGCCATTACACCATATCCCCATAATTGTTAAACTGAAAACTAGGTTTCACACACTCATAGCAATTGTACAACCACAAGCTTAATAACACCAAGTGCTATCTCAAATAAATAAACAGTTTTATAATGAAATTGAAACTACTATGTGATATAACTGTATATGTCATTACACACTGCAGCCATAACCATTGACTCAGAAGACAGGTTCCACACATGCTTAGCAATTGTCCAGTCACAGGCTTAACGATATCATGTGCTAATTCATTTTCTTGAAATAAATTTTCTAATACAATATCTTGTATAAATATTTAAAGGTAATATAAATAGAAACTCTTTATCTTCCTATATCTATTTACAAACTTTGCCTCTTCACTTTAGAGATTATAAAGAGCTGTTTTAAAGGGAGGATTGACTTCTATCCTTCCATCATACACACACACTAATTTATAACTTCTTGCTGGGGAGAAGTTCACAACAGAGCCTTATAGTTTCAACTTACAAGTGGTGTTCATTTATTACCTTTATGTGATCAAGGAGAGCCTTCGACATAATAACTAAAGGTTTAGAAATCCACAATTCATATAAGGATGAAAGGGAGCTCTATATAGATAGATTACAAAGAAGAAAACCTTCTAAGTTTCAGACAAAGTATTCACAATATTCCTAGATTTTGTAGTTTGGAATCTGTAAAACAAAAAATGCAGTCAAAGAATTTTATAGTTTTTGACACTATGAACTTCAAAACTTCATTGTTTGGCAAATTATTTGAACTTGACATAGGTAACAGACATGTACAAAGACCACAGATTTACATCTTTGTTTCATGTTTTATTTACACAGGCAGAAAGTTTAAACTCTACAAATAAAAAGTGCAATTGAGGGTGAGGAAAAAATTGAAATTAAGGTTATCAGTTTAGATCTAAAAGAATTCGTATGAAAATATACATCAGAACAAAATTTTAAGTCTTAAAAATTTCATTTACAGTTTTATTTTGTAGGTAATTTGAGGGAAAAAGAACAGACAGAATTTTAAAAAACTCATTGGTGCCATATGCCCTAATAAAAAAAAATTCCTACACCACAGGTTTCCCCTAGTAATAATAAAGTTACAGTAATTATGAAATCCAGCTTATTTGTTTTACTACTGAATGCATCTAACTCCATCATGCCCAAATGGGTGCATTCTGCCTCACCATTGAATTAAAACCAATTATAGAAAATAAACTTGTATTTGATCTTTTACACATTAAAAAAATCCTTGAGAGTTGAAATCAATTCACTAAAAAAGTTTCACTTCATTTATTTAATTTTATACATTAAAATTGTAAATTTTGATTTTGGGTTGATTTCAGCTCTCTTTGAACAAAATCATCAGTGTTTGTGCATTTGCTGAATGTTTTCAAGACATAATATGGCATTTGTAGCCCCCTAGGAGGAAAGTCATAATAGCTTTGAGTAAGATATACTTCTTATTTCACTTTTATAACTTGAATACAAGTTCAGTTTTACTGATTCTCAACGACAGTTATCAGTGTGATGTAATTGCATATTTTTCAGCATCAAAATACTGTAGGCTAATGATGTGAATGTGTAAGGCCCTTTTTCTTTTATTTCCAACTGCCTATACTAAAATATATAAATATATAGTTTTTAGTTCAATGAAAATTTGCATAGAGATCAGAAAAAGGTGATTACAGCTCAGTTTGGTGGTAAGTTGCTAGAAGAAAATATGTCTGTGAACATCTATCATAACAGTTACAGCCCTGATTTATTTTTAAGCTTGCTTTATCATTTTAAAGTTAATTTTAACTATGATGTTACAGTATAATAGGAAAAAAATATTTTACTCTTGAATATGATTAGTATGCTTAGTTATTTGTACTTGACCATATGAAGTTTCATTTTGCCAATAAGGCCAATTTGTTAGGTCTTCTTTAAATTAGAGCTTATCAGCCTAAGTAACAGCTTGTATGGGAAAAGAAAATCACAAAAAAGAAATAGTGAAAACATTATATATATATATAG